ATTACACAAGGCCACTCTATCAACTCAAGGAGACACAGTAGCTCTACTACATAGAAACCAACACAGGGAAGCAGCCAAAATGCAGAGACAAAGAAACAAATGAAAGAAATGGAAGAAAGCAAACTACTGGATATAGAGTTCAAAAAACCCCACAGTTATAAGTTTACTCAAGAATCTTCTAGAAACCTCCAAAAAAATGGAAAAGGACCAGTCAGGAATTAAGTATACACTGACTGAAATAAAGAATAATATACAGGGATTCAACAGTAGAGTAGAGGATTCGGAGAATCAAATCAACGATTTGCAATATGAAGAAGCAAAAAACACCCAACCAGAAGAGCAAAATGAAAAAAGAATCCAAAAATATGAAGATAGTGTAGGGAGCCTCTGAGACAACTTCAAGCATACCAACATTCACATCATGGGGGTGCCAGAAGAAGAGAGAGAGCAAGATATTGAAAACCTATTTGAAGAAATAATGACAGAAAACTTCCCCTACCTGGTGGAAGAAATAGACTTACAAATCCAGGAAGCAGAGTCCCAAACAAGAGGAACCCAAGGGGACCACACCAAGACACATCATAATTAAAATGCCATCGGCTAAAGACAAAGAGAGAATCTTAAAAGCAACAAGAGAAAAGCAGTTAGTTACCTACAAGGGAATGCCCATACAACTGTCAGTTGATTTCTCAACAGAAATTATGCAGGCAAGAAGGGAGTGGCAAGAAATATTCAAAGTGAGGAATAGCAAGGACCTACAACCAAGATTACTCTACCCAGCAAAGCTATTATTTAGAATTGAAGGTCAGAAAAGAGCCTCACAGACAAGAAAAGGCTAAAGGAGTTCATCATCACCAAACCAGAATTATATGAAATATTGAAGGGTATTCTTTAAGAAGTAGAAGAAAAAGATAAAAAATAAGAACAACAAAATGGCAACAAATACATACTTATCAACAATTGAATCAAAAAATCAAAATAAACAAGAAATCTAATGAACAGAATAAATTAATGAATAAAACAGAATCAGAGGCATGGAAATGGAACAGATTGATGATTCTCAGAGGGAAGCGGGGTGGGGGGCAGGAAGAGATTAAACAAAGATCTTATATGCATACATGCATTACCTATGGACACTGACAATAGGATGGCCAAGGCCTGGGGCAGGGCCGGGAACTGGGTGGAGGGGGGCGAGGGGGGAAAAAAGAGGAACATCTGTAATACTCTCAACAATAAAGATTTTTGTAAAAGCCAATATGTAAAAGTCCAATTTAACAATTAAAAAATGTTTGTGAAAGGAATACCCTGACAGTTGGCTCAATCTAATCATGCTGCTATTATTATGAAGCTCTCCCAAACTGCCCCCCCCCCCCGCCCCGCCACCCCACCAAAAAAAGAGCAGAGAAAGTGAGCATGCCAGGAAGTATTGGACAGGAACTTTTTCGGTTTGGGAGCCAGGAAATGTCAAGGGCACAAATGTAGTTACCCATTTCTAGCCACGGGACTGAAAACTGAGCCTCTTTATTAAAATGTCCACCACAGAGCAGTCCTGACAAGTGGCAGACTGCTACAGAGACTGAAAAAGCTACCATTGATTCCGGGTTTTACGGTAACAACCAATATATCTAGTTGATGGTAGGGAAGGAAAGTGCTTGAATTTTACCCTTAGTCTCTGGGTTTTTCTTGTTTTCAAACTGACTGGTCTGAACAATGGAAGACCAATAGCCAACAATACGTCCACTGTAAGCTGGAAATGACTTCTGAATACAACTAAATGTTTCTTTCATTCTCGAATTAAACTTTTTACTGTAGTAAAAGTCAAGCTTTTATAATATTGTAACTATAGGTATAACTATTGGGGGTTGATTACTTAGGCAGCCTATTTAAAGCACCTTAAAAACAGATATCAGATGCTTGTTTTGCATTTATATTTTTGGATCATACTAAAAATACTATTGTTAATGATTCTTGCTCAAAAATCCTGTTTTTATGTACTGAAAACCGTTTCTCTTATTTTGTAGCATGGAAGGATAATCACAAGTTAACATGAATATTCCCTTATTGTAGCTTCTGGATCTACATCGTCAGGCACACCAGCCAGTCCCAAATAAGTTATTTCATAGTTCTGTTCCCAAGGGAACAAACACAGTGGGCCCCATATCAACAGTGGCTTTTGTTGGCTTATTTAAAATAAATTTTTTCTGACTTTAAAGTGGCGTGTGGTCGGTAAGGATTTCTCTTCTTTAATTTGGATGTGGTTTCTGCCTCCAAAACTCTGAAAACAAACTTGTTGGTAAAAGGACAACCTGCAGGCACTCACACACACGGCTACTTAAGCTCAAGCTTAAAAGAGGCTTCACTGAAAACAAACTAGAACTGAAAAACATGTTCAAGTACAAATGTTCTTTCCTGAAGCTATTTTCAGTTCATTTGTCTTTTATATCTAATAGTTAAAAAAATATCTTCCCATCTATTTAAAGCCAATTACCAGCTCACCATTATGTGCCTCCCACAGCCCCTTCATCTCTGCCAGGGACTGTCGGGGTCACCAGGCAGGGTGTGCACATTCCCCAGGCAGTGACATCTGGGGGAAGAATGGGTAGAAGCAGAAACAGCTTGGACCTGGGAGACAGACACCTTTCACAGGGGCCACTCAAACAGCCAGAAGCTCAACCCCAAGTTCATTCACACCGTGGCATCTCTGCGGCTCCATTGGGATGGAAAAACTGGCCAGTTAGTACTCTGAGCACATGCCCCGCAGATACCAAGTTTAGTTAGTTAATTGTAGGATGTGCTGAGATGTGTACATGCTAATGTCAGATTGCTGAGCTGTACAGCAAATCTGAAGTGGAAATCCCAGGATTCCAAAATGTTCCCTTTGCCTTTCTAGTGGGGAGAGGAGAGAGAGAGAGAGAGAGAGAGAGAGAGAGAGAGAGAGAGAGAGAGAGAGAGAGAGAGAGAGAGAGAGGGAGAGAGAGAGAGAGAGAACACTTTGGTTGCTCTGAGAGAGAGAGAGAGAGAGAGAGAGAGAGAGAGAGAGAGAGAGAGAGAAACACTTTGGTTGCTCTGCGCCGCAGGAAGCCACTGCTCTCCCTCCAAATTCAGGACTCGAGGATCCATCCACACTCCTCAGACGTGGCTGCTTTCCCAGGACCCCCCACCCCCATTAGAATAAACACAATTTACAAGTTCTTTGCAAAAGGTTCTCCTGGGATTTCTGATTTACTCCATCTGGGCTTGTGGTTTATTTTTATGCTCAGAGGGGTCTCCTATCCAAAAGAATAGCCACAGTTCTAGCACTAACAGGTAGAAACTTCACTGACCTTTCATAAATCAGTTCAACACTCTGGTCTCTAGGGATTTGCCAAAAGATAATGGGCTGCAATTATGAAACCATCACCAGGAGTTGCCAAGCAGAACCCTGGAGAGATTTCTGAAGTCTGCAGACACTTTCCAAGACAAAAGAGGAAATCATTTCATGAAGCAGCAATGTTGCCTAAATCCAAGCAAGAAGAGATGTAACGCTGGCTTAAAGTGCTAAGAAATAGGTGTGGTGAACTAGGAGGTGTGGTGCAGTCTTCTCCCATTCCCCCCAAGATTCCCAATTCACTCAATGATGGATAGACCGCTGAATACCTTACTTAAAGATCACAGCTCTGCACAGTTCCGGGGGCTGGTAGTAACAGACCTGTCCTTCCTCTCCTCTACCCTGAAACATGTGCTTTTCATACTACAACTGAAGATGCCCCTTTGGGCAGGGCACTTGGGAGCCACCTTTCCCAGGAGGAAGAGGATGGCTGGAGCAGGGAGGTCGCAGGAGGCAAGCTGGGCTCAGCCAGGGAAGCTCTTCCAGCGGTTCTCAACCTGTGGGTCGCGACCCCTTTGGCGATCGAACGACCCTTTCACAGGGGTCGCCTAAGACCATCCTACATATCAGATATTTACATTACAATTTATAACAGTAGCAACATTACAGTTATGAAGTAGCAACGAAAATAATTTTATGGTTGGGTCACAACATGAGGAACTGTATTTAAAGGGCCAGAAGGCTGAGAACCACTGAAAGCCTCTCTAGTTCCATGGGGAGAAGCACTGCTGCACAAAAGCTGGGGGAGGGCTTTGAGGACCCAAATGTGGCTCCTGCTTTGAAGGCACAATGCAGCAACTGTAATAGAAGTGTCAAGAGTCTTATAGGCTTTCAAGAAAACTCAGATGTATTTGCATCGCCCAGGTGGCAGCCTGAAATTGGCACCCAGTTTTCTGGCCCAGACTGTTTCTCTTCCCCTCACTCTACCGGTCTCATGTGGGCATCCCTGCAGGTCTCCGTGGCACGGAGTGCGCGATCAGCTGCAGCAGCTCCAGAGCACAGCATCTCCAGGATCGAGCTGCCTCAAAACAAATTTTTCTGGGGGGTGCAGGGTGCACAGGCCGGGCTGACCAGATCCCTTCAAGGTCCCAGCCCTAGGGTCTGTCAGGGGCTTTCCTCCCCCATGGCCGCCAGCCTGCTGGGGGTCCCACGCCCCTCCAGGTACACCAGCGTTGGGAAAAGCAGCTGCTACGGAACAGCAGTTGCTGCCAATGATGAGAATCACCCTGCAGACACTTCCCCCTGAGCCTCTTCATTATGCCGGCACAGATGAGTAGCCTTGCGTCCACCTGAGGCGGGAAGCAACCTGAGGTCAGAGCGCACACACTCATGGATCCTCTCTCTCCCTCTACTCGTCCCAAAACGGCCCTTCTAACCCACTTTTCCCACGGCCGCTAGCCCTGGAATGCGACCTTGAGGCTGGAGTGGAGACAGCAGGACCCCTTCGGGGCCGGCACTTTGCTTTGCCCAACCTCAGCCCCTCGCGCAGGCCACCAGGGTGGACTCGCGTGCACAGAACTAGCGAGCGAACCCTGCTCGGGGAGACGGCCACACTGCCCCGGGCTCCCAGGGCACGGACACTCCCCCCAGCCCCATGCACACCCTTCCTGGGATCGCCCCCAATGCTCCTCACCTCGCGCAGCAAGCGCTCCAGGTGCGGCTCCGCCCAGGTAGACAGGGCGCCCGGGGGCCCCGTGCGCCGCAGCAGCTCCCGCTCCTCCTCGAGCGCTGCCACCCGGCCCTGCAGCGCCGACGCCTGGACGCCCAGCAGCAGACAGGCGGCCGCTGAGCCCATGGAGAGCAGCAGGCACAGCGCGCTCACCGCCCAGGCTCCCACCGCCATCGCCGGGCGACCCCCGCCGCCGCCAGCCGGGCCGCCCTTCCGTGTGCTGCCGCCGTCGCGCTCGCCCGGGCTCATGGCGCGATCTTGGCGTGTGCTGTCCGAGGGGGCGGTGCAGAGCTGGGGTTGAAGACTGAGCGCGCCGGGAGCAGGCAGAGAACCCGAGGCACGAGGTCGGCCGGGCGCAGGGCTTGGCCTCCAGGCAGCAGCGGATCGCGGCGCACGCCCCCTTCCCCTCCGCCGGCAACTCCACAACAGCCACTTTGGGCAGTTTCCTCTATGCAGATAGTCTCTGCCAGAAAAGGAGCCGGGACCCACCCAGGGGAGGAGCGGCCCGGCCAGCCCTGCGCGGCTAGGGGGCGGGAGCGGGAAGGGAGCTGGCTCCTCCGAGCCCCCCTCGCGTGCCTGGCGGACCCTGCGTGCAGCGCGCACCTCCGCCCTCAACTGTCCCGGGCGCCGGGCTGCACCCACTCCCGCGCGGGCACCTCTGCGACCCCCCAGTATGAGTTCCCACTGCGATCCCAAGATGTCTGAGATGCGCCCAGAGACTCAGAGCGCCTTTCTGCAGCCCACCCCTGGCTGGAGCATTATTCATGCCTGGCGAATATTCCCCTAAACTTGTGTATTAACCTTTCTGACAATTTTTTAAAAGCTCAAAACTTCAAACCCTGTGGAAAACTTAGAGAGTCCGTCCTAGATGGCGCCTTAGCGCCGCTTGGTGGCCGAAAGTGATCGCAGCGCGCTCACAGACACAGGGTGGAGATTGCGACAAGCAGAAAGAATTAATCTTAGAATCTTGATTTCTCTACATTTATTATGTGCCAGGAATGTGGTGCTGGAAACAAACATTGTAAGACGTTGTCCCTGACAAGGCCTTTCAAAATGACTTGTAAGCCCCCCTAGAGAGGGCTTCCATTTGAGAAAATTGAAAGTAAAAATGGAGATGATGGAGAAAAAGAACTCCAACTTTTATTGAGCCGATGGTTTATCTGTAGTAGAAACACAACTTGGCCAAAGCAACAATCAGTATGGACATTTAATCTATACTGTGATTTTGCTGCAAATTTACATCACAAATTACGTTAGGAAAGCCTGAATGACAAGTGGCCCTAACAGTGTTTTCAAGAGACGAAAGGCTGGAAGTCAGGTGGGATTCTCTGCTCCCTCAGATTCCTACCAGTCATATTTATATCATAAAATGGGTCCCAAGTAACTCTTCCACAAACTCCTCTAATACTCAAATAAAAATCATGAACTGCTAGCTTAGATCTTTGTGATTTGGGTAACTCCACAACTGATTTTGAGAAAAAGACCAGTTATATCTGTCTTCCCTTTCACTCTCTGGGTATTTTTAGATTATTTCTATGGATAGATTACTTACCTTTTAAAATTGTTAGGTGAATTGGGGTTATGTTTAGGTGGTTAAAGATAGGTTTTGGCGCCATGCCATAATCTAGTGTAGACCCAATAAATAGTCTGAAACATAATTGCTAAGCAAACTAAATTGTCTCCTCTGAAGAGGCCAACACCATATCACATGCTAGCACTTTATTCTTACTTCCAAACGCACAGGTAAATTACCCAATACTACTTAATGTTACTGCACTATGTTCACTACATTCCAGAAGCTTCTGCATATCAAGCCAAGCTCATTATCTGGAATATCCTGCTCTCAGATATTTGACAAAGTTCTTCCTTATCCTTAGTTCAAAGTCCCCAGGTCTTCAAATCCCACTGCCTCCAAAAGACCATCCTGTACTGCTCAATCAAATGTGGCTACACCTGATTCCTCTTCAGTGTTATTCAGTGGCTCAGGGCATTTATCACTATTTGAAGTTACCTTTTTATTAACTGCATCCCCTTTGTCTTGTTCATCATTGTTTTCTCAAAGAACAGAACAGGATCTGGCACACTGTAGGTGCTCAATAAATATTTGTCAAGTGAATTAAGAAAAGGTGAAAATATGTTTACAAGGCATTTTAAGAGGCAAGGAAGAAAAACCTGTCTTATGTCTGCTAGGGTCCTGGAAAGAACAGACAGCTGAAGACAGTCTAAAGTTAAACATATAGACTCTTTACAAAGTGGGGCAGACTAAGGGAAGCCAACAGGGGAGGCTGATGAAGCACCCTGAGGTATCCACAGTGGGAGGCCACTACCGCCCCTAGCTGAAGGGCCGAGGGGAGTAAAGTGTTGTGGGAACTTTGTGATCTGCTAAACAGGAGTTGTGGCCTTTGGTCAAGGGATACGATTACTTCAAAACCATAGTTTGGGAAGTTGGGAGCTGGGATATAAATACTCCTCTCCTGCTTTCTGATCTGTTGGCCTCGCACTGACCAAATCCACGGGATAAGCTAGCCCAGATAATGCAGTGCAGACGTCAGCCCCCCAATGGCACAGAGGAGAGCCCTGGGGATGAAGAACAGATCTGGAGAGGGGGGAAGAAACTCCACATTACCTAATGTGTATGTAGCACCTGCCAAGGTCACGCTAGCTACTGCTGTCTCTGAATGGCTAACCTGTCATCAAGAGGCACTCATCTTCAGGGTGACCAGCAAACCACTTGGTGGGAAATTAACCTCTCTGGACTTTCTCCATTCAGGAAAGTCCAGCAGTTTGCCAACACCTCACAAGGATGGGTAGCTATTTCAGGTGTGGGCTTGTCTTTCCTGTCTGTAGAGTTTCAGCTGGCACCACTATCGTTAGACAGCCTGATCCACAGGTATTAAGTCCCGTACAATAGCACTCAACTAAGGGACTCACTATACAGCAAAATAGCTGTGGGAGTGAGTCCATGACCACGAGATTCACTGGTTGTACTACATCCTGCAGCAGCCAGCCTCAGTATACTGGACTGTCTTCTGAAAGCACACATGAAGTGCCACCTCAGGGCATCAAGAGGCAAGATTCTAAAAATGCCATCTTTGCCTGGCCAGCGAGGCTCATCAACCAGGAGGTTACAGTTCCTGGTCAGGGCACGTGCCCGGGATTCGGGCTTAATCCCACTGGGCAGTGGGCAGGAGGCAGCCAATCAATGATTCTCTCACCATTGATGTTTCTCTCTCTCTCCCTTCCTCTCTGAAATCAGTTAATATATATGACACACACACACAAAAGAGGATGGAAAAAGATGTACTATGCTAATATTAAAATCAGACAATATCTATTTGTGCTCATTTCACATGGTTCCTATGGGACTAAAATCCAAAGTATAGAAATATAATTTGCAGACTGTAGAATTTTATATAAATCAATATAGGAAATAAACTGTGAAAACAATAGCTACTATATACCAGCACTTTATGTAAATTATTTCATTTAATCCTCACCACCACCCTTGGGAAGTTAGGTATTAGTATTCCAACTCATAGATGAGACTGAGAATATGTATCTTGTCTACCTATAGAGGTAGTATCAAGGTTTGATTGCAATCTGACTCTGTAGGCAAGCATCTTCACACCAACATTACTCTGTACAATTATGAGGACACACAAAATAATTTAAATGTTTGTAATTTGAAAAATATAAAATAAAAAGAAATATTTAATATTAAACTCTATCAATGACACTTTCAGTATCATTTAGGACTGTTCTTGTCATTCATTCTCAAAACTGTACTTGCCATGTGCCAGCAGCTTTTAAAGTTAAAACACTGAACTTGCATTATTTATAATGGAAAACTTTTAAGTCACTGGGAATTCCTGCATATCTGCAATTAATCTTCAATTCAATTCATTGCATGGAACTGCTGGTCACAGTAGCTGAAAGAACTAGGCTTATGAGATAACTTCCTCAAAGGATATTTAGGGTGATTTCAAGGCTTCATAATTACTTCTGTTAATTATGTAGATTTTGCCCCAGAATTGTAACATTTAAAACCAAACTAAAATCAGGAGAGGAGCAAATATAAGAAAATGTTATCTGAATCGCAGATATCCTTGATTGGTAAAAAACCAAATTTCTTTTAAAATTCTGTCCCTCACTTCGTTTCAGTAAAATATCACAAAAACTACAATGACAGGGGCCAAAAATATAATTGATAGTATAGTAATTCCCTGTGCCACAAAGAACAATTAACAACTGAGTCAAAGCACTTATATAAAACAAAATACCTATTTTTTCTTGGGGGGGGGGGGGAGAGGGGGTGGCACTGTTCTCCAAAGGCACTGTACTGCCAGGTCAACACACCGTCTCCCTGCTCTAAAAACCCACTTAATATGTTGTCCTTGGATAGAGGACATATGTTAAACTGACAAGATATGTACACTTGATCTTAGTCAAAAGGCCGAGAAGCAATGTACCTTTTATTAGTGGGACTACTAAACACCAGGTAATCTGCTTTACCTTTTTAATCACCCTGTAACACAGATATTAAATAATTCCAAGTAAGAAAGTAACATGCTTTTCCCTAAACATAGGGAACTGGGATAAAGTTGGAACCATGCCAGTAAGCCTGAGCTCTAAATTCACTGAATTGATACATCAAGGATTAGTGATAGGTAAGAGACATAAAACAAAAAAATGGATGGATGCTTATTTCAACTAGAGGCTTTTTAAAAATCCAGGCTTTCTTTTTTTTAAAAGACAATCTCTCACAGGTGTGTATAACCTCAGCCAGGTAGTCAATCTGAGGTTCAGATTGAATACTGTGGTTAAACGTTACCAGCTTCTATGACAAAGCCCTCCATGAATTTTTCACCCAAGGCTCTTCCATTCATGGACTGTTGTCTGGATCCATTTTTGAATTGCAACATAGTAAGTATATTTCTAACATCCCTTTTTTATTAGAAGGAATTCTATAAAAAAACTTCCTCTCCTTACTTATCAGTTCACAGAATAAATAGGAAGAGAGGAATGGATACCACTGTGATGAAATATTGCATATGGGAAATTCTCTAAAGATAAATGACCTACCTGGCTAGCATGGCTCAGTGTAGGGACCTGAGCTCAAAGAAGAGGGGGAGGAGAGCTGGCAGCAGACACTCAGATAATGATCCCAGGGGTACCACACTAACCACTAATCATTTCTTCCATCCTACATAATTTATTGGTGTTTCACTTTAAATCCTAAAATTCTAGGAATTAGGCTAAGAATTAGCAAATCCCATTTGTGAGGAATCTAAGTACTTTTCAGAAGGGAAAAGGGGTTAGCAATGATAAACTTAGTGAAAAATAATCTGGAGGCCTGGCCGGGTGAGTCAGTTGGTTGAGGCACCATTCCATATACCAAAAAGGTCATGGGGTTCAGTTTCTAGTCAAGGTACACACCTAAGTTGCAGGTTCAATCCTGGGTTGGGGTGTAAACAAGGAGGCAAGTGATTGATGTTTCACTCTCCTCT